TGAATCAACTGTATTATACAAAATGTTTACTTGTGCACAACGCTCTTTTGGTTTTGCTCTTTACATCCAAACTGATCAGTGATGAGATGAGAGACCGGACTCGACGGCAACCTGCACCCCCGAAGGAGGCACCTTTTCCGTTTTCTGAGGGTTAAAGAAGCAGCTGGAAGTCCTTCAGTTTTAAACTAGAAACAACGGTTCCCTTCAAAGAGAGAAGAGCTGGTTCAGACTTGTGCACCGAAGGTTTGATCTCAGCTCCCACAAGACAAAGTGTTGTTGTTGGCAACTGTTTCGTGTGATTTCTAATCAGAACCACTTTGGATCGGGTCTGTAATCTGACCGAGACATCTGGTGTTCTCAGAATAACTTTCGCCGTGTCTGAAAACATCCATCAGCTGATGAGAATCAAAACACTGGAGGATGACTCAGCACAGACGAGCTAAAAGTGACTTTGCCTTTTTTTGGTTTTATAAACATTTCTTCTGTGTTTGGACTGTTTTAGTAACAATGCACTCCTGATGTGACCGTTTTTATTACAGCAGTACGAATAAAGTTTAGAATTTTGAATCTGGACAATCATTCTTTTATGTATTTAAAAACACAAACTTGATCATAATTCTCCCTTAACGTTTTTTTTTTCTGAACCTGGCAAACGACTTCTCGGAGGTTTTACATCTGTTGAATGGAATTTGGAAAATTTCACCTCGAACTCATTTAGTGACCTCAGAAAATATCTCATCATTTTTCAGTGTGCGCCGAGAGGAACGAGAACCTGAGGGAGAGGGAGGTCCGCTCTAACTGTCCAGTTAGTTCAGGCAGGAAGGAGCAGAGGACCGTACGTTCTGAGCCCAACATTACGTTAACTGGACTATGAGCTGAACTTCTGGCTCAGGTCCTGTAAACCCAGTAAACTGAGGCTGATGATCTGTTGGTACTCCTCCATGTCAACAAAACGCTCACTGATATCGTACGTGATGTTTCGTCTCATCTCAACCTGCATTTTGGTGATTTCCCGTCTGGTTTTTGTCCAAATCTTCTGACTCTGCTTCCATCTCTATATTCAAAATGTGATCAGAAAATGACGACCTTTAACCTTGGATTACAGCTTGAATGTTTTCTTTTTAAGTTTCCTCGCATCTTTTGTAATCATCTATTCATCTGATCAACCTGGGGCTGCATTTCCTCTTGCGTCCAATTCCAGAGAAGTTGGCTAAGTCTCGTGAACCTTTTACTTTTTAATCTATCTCGTCAGCTGATGGGTGAGGTTCTGCCTCAAGTGGAGTTCAAGTATCTCTGGTTTTGTTCTCAGTGAGGGAAGAATGGATCCGTGCAGCTTCTGCAGTATTGTGGACTCTGTGCCAGTCCGTTGTGGTGAAGAGGGAGCTGCGCTTCAAGGTGAAGCTCTCCGTTTACCGGTCGGTCTACGTTCCTACACTTCATGGTCCTGAACTCTGGGTAGACACTGAAAGAACCAGATCCTGGATCCAGGAGGTCTGAAGGAGTTCTCGCTGCAAAGTAGCTGGAAGTTCAGATCTCCAGGAGAGACTCGGAGTAGAGCCAGGTTGTGGGGGGTGGGGGAGTAATGGTGGCCTTGGCCTCTGCAAATGACTCTTCAGTGACCCCAGTCATTTGAGGAAACTACGGTGAAGCAATTTAAAAAGCAGTTTCCTCAAATCATCATCCAGAACGAGCAGTCTCTTCTGAATTCATACTGATGTCTGCACATTTTCTGCGCAGCAGATGGACACCGACACGAGCTGCTCATACGAAAGAGGAAGTCGACAGTTCGCTGCTCCCATTCGTTCCGTTTTCTGTCCAGAGTTACGGCAACAATCCAGAGATACTTGAACTCCTCCACCAGTAAATTATCAGAGTAATCAAAATCCAAAACATGAACGTCTTCACTCAACAGTCCTGAATGTTCGAGTCCGTTAATGGTGTCGGGGGTCAAAGGTCAGTTTGACCGATGATGACGGTGTCCACGGAGTAAATAAACGGGTCAATTATAGAACCTGCAGCTCTCAGGTGAAGAACTCCCCTGCTGACGACCACCAGCCGATCCAAACCATTTAAAGACCAGAGGAGTGGACTTCACCAGTCCAGAACCAGTCAAGGTTTATTTGGTGGAAGTGGTCTAAATAAAAACAAGCTCCAACATGGAGACTTAGCCTGAGGACATTTTCTGTCCTAAACGTTTGTGGAGTTCCACCATGGACAACTTCCTGTGTCCCGTCTCATCATGGATGGACGGGTGGGCCCGGTCTACATCAAGGGTGTCGAGTCCTGGTCCTCGAGGGCCACTGACCTGCACGTTCTCTGCTTGGACACACCTGATTTAAATGAGACCAATGGGCTTCTGTAGAACTGGACCTGCTGAGGAGCAGGGAACATCGAAGACCTGCAGGATAGTGGTCCTCCAGGACTTGGATTGGACACCAGTCTAGAGGATAAAGGGTTTGACATCTGTTACTCAAACGTCCAGCTGGAGCAGAGGATGGACAGGCTGTGACCTTGACCTTTAAATCAACAGAGATCATCCTTGACCCTCGAGGTGTCCGGAGGTGTAGTTGGACTTTTTTTTTTTTTTTTAACTTTGATGAGTTTTCAATTTAGTTCTCGGACAAGAAGTTGTTCTCGGACAAGAAGTTGTTCTCGGACAAGACGTGTCTCGTTTAAGGACGGGCGTTTTGCAAAGTCCTGAAAGTTTCACTGGAAACCAAAAAATGAACTTTAGAATAAAACCAGTTCTGGAGAAGAAACAAGGATACGACAGAACCACGATCCCAAACACAGCAGCTGATCCGAACGGGTCAGAAAGAACAGAACCAAGGTGCTGCAACGGTCCAGTCAGAGTCCAGAATCAAAGCCTGACTGAAACACTGTGGTGGACCTTCAGAGAGCAGAACCCTCAATGAGGGAAGGAAGAGTGGACCAGAACTCCTCCAGAACCAGGAGAAATGTAAAACCATTAAAAGCGACTGGTTTTAAACTTCACAACTCGTTCATTTAAAACAGTAAACAACGTTTCCCATTATCACAGAACATTACTGGTTCTGAAAACCCAAAGCATCTCATTAAGACGTGTCATTTACACCGAGCCTTAGAACAGAACCTTAGAACAGAACCTTAGAACAGAACTTTAGAAGAACAGCATGATACGGTGGATCACACTATCTGGTAAAAATTCTTCTCAAACTGGGCATCTCCAAAGAAGCATTTTACTGGTTTGGAGATTATTTGGCAAATAGGACACAGTGTGTACAGATGGCTGGAATAAGCTCAAGTTTTCTTAAAGTAAAAAAGGGTGTACCCCAGGGCTCTGTCTTGGGGCCCATCTTATTTACAATTTACATTACGGCACTGTGTGAAAATTTGCAAAATGCCTTCTACCACTTTTATGCTGATGATTGTGTAAATTACTGTTGTTCAAATTCAATTGATCAGGCACTTAAATTCTTACAGGCTGCTTTTGATGAGGTGCAGATTCGTCTTGAGCAACTAAAATTGGTCTTAAATGCTGATAAATCTAAAATAATGTTGTTTTTTCAAATTTATCTGTCCCATTGGAGAATATCCCTTTAATAAAAACTGACCAAGGTAAAGTTCTCAAGAGGGTCTCCTGTTATAAATACCTGGGCTTAATTATCGACGAGGAGCTTTCTTTTAAATCTCATGTGAAACACCTAATCTCCAAATTAAAAGGTGAAGCTCGGGTTCTTCTTTAGAAACAAATCATGTTTCTCCCATAGAGCAAGGAAACTTTTGATCACGGCTACTTTTTTGCCAGTACTTGACTATGGCGTTGTTTATGTGTGTGCTTCAAACAGTTTTCTGGTCATTGAATCCAGTGTACCATTGTGCATTAAGATTTATGTAGCTACCTTACTCATCACTGTGATCTCCATCTTAAAACCAATATGTCTTCCCTGTTTAACAGGCGATGTGCATTGGATGACTTTGGTATTGGCATGCTTCCACATTATTTATGTACTTTTATAAGAAGAATGGACAGTAGTTATGCCTAATGCTCCAAGGACTGTTTGCATCTTCATGTTCCTCGTGCGCGAACAGAAAAGGGCAAGAAAGCTTTTAGCTTTTCTGCCCCCTCAGCTTGGAATGCCTTGCAAGCTGAATTAAAACGGATAGAACTTGTTACTTTGAGTGTTTTTTGCAAACTTAAAAAAAAAACGACAAAGGATATCTTGTCAACAGTGCCTGTGTTTTAGATCTTAAATTGTTAGTTTTAAATAATTATTGCCATTTACTGTTATACTGTATGTTTTATATATTTATATATTTCTGAAGTCTTCATAATCTTGCTACTTGTTTTATTTTTATGACGTGCTGCTGCTGCTGCCTGTTCTTGGCCAGGTCACTCTTGTGAAAGAGGTCTTGATCTCAGTGGGGTTTTATCTGGTTAAATAAAGGTTTAATTAAAAATACAAAACAAAAAAAACAACAACAAAAAACAGAACCTTAGAACAGAACCAAGGCAGAACTTTAACCAGAACAAAAAGGAAAAGGTTTGAAGTCAAGTTTTCTAAAGACAGTGTGAAAGAGGCGACTTTTTAATTTTTATTTTCTTTTATTCTACTCATGGAGTTCTGTAACCAAATGTTTTAACATACATAAAGTATTTTTCATTGAATTGTTTTGAACTTAAAAGATAAGTCGAGTCTTTTTACACTTTCGGGCCTGAAATGAGCGACTTCTCCATCTGGTGGTTGGTGAGGGTTCGTCAGATACTTCAAACCAAATGGATCCAATAAATCCAACAAAGTTCACTCAGCTCATCTGGACGGTTTCTTTTTTTTGTTGAGATGTTTCATCCTTCATCCAAAGCACTAATTGATTGATCAAGTGTTTTGGCTGAAGGACGAAACGTCTCATCAACCAAAAATAAAAAAACATCCAGATGACCCGAGTGAACTTTGTTGGATTTTTTTTAACCTGGATTATTGAAATGAACTTTGATGTTCCATTAATTCATAACGTCCACCCACATTAACAAACGTCTCTGCGTGTTCGTTTCATACATACGTTTATTTTATACAAAAGAAAGAAGGGTCGTAATATTAACAATTATACAGACGAGGAGGGGGGTCACTGGAACACGACGGTGTCCAACATGGCGGCTAGGCACTGAACGATGTTGGACGTCATCAAAACGTCCACGTGCTCCTCCAGGTGTCTCTTTGGATCCTGAAAGAAAAGATTTCATCAAGAGCACGTACCTGTCGACCAACACCAGCTGTGACCTTGAGCTGGGGTGAATGCTAACCATCTTTGAGCAGAAGCACAAGATCTTTATGTTGGTCTGCTCAGATAAACCGGAGCGAATAGAAAAGTTTCTTACGTGCAGCTTTAATAAAAATTTAAACGTGGACCTCGTACCTGCTTTCCGACGTTCTTGATGGCCAGCTGCTCCGGAGTCATTTTGTCCTCCTCCTCCACGGCCTGAGGTGGAAGCAGGACAAGTCTCAGTGTTCGAGCTCTTCCTGTGCAGCACTTCCTGCTCTTTTCATCTCAAATAAAAGCTGTAATTCTAACCGCAGGTCACAGAAACAAAACCGCCGCTTTGGGTCTGAACAAGCCTCAACAAAAGGAGGAAATCAGCTGCGATCAAAAGCTGAATCAAGACGAAAGTAATTTACAGGAAACACACGTTTACTTTTAATAATTCTGAATAAAAGCTCCAGTCTTCTTGTCTCTCAGGGACATTTTGTTCTTACGGCCATGAGCCGATATAACCTGCTGCAAAAATACTACAAAGAATAAGATTAAAACATTTATTTACTTTTATTTAAAAACTACTAAATACCTGATTATTAGTCCTGTTTCTACCTAAATAACAAATAACTTGATCAAGACATCAGCTGATTCTGAGCCTCGTTAACGAGACTGGACATTTCCCACCAGCTAACATGCTAACTCTTGTAGCTCGTCTCAAACATTTCTTTCTAAACGACGCACGACGGGTCCTGATCGAGTCAAACGTCGTTCTAAGTTTAGCGAGAACAAAGTGTACCTTGTTGTAGTTCTTGGCGAGCTCCAGCATTTCCTTGACGATGGTCTCGTTGAGCTTGCAGTGCTCGCTGTAGTTCTGCAGGGTCAGACCCTCCATCCAGCTCTTCTTGTGCAGGTTCAGCAGCATCTGAACGATAAAAGATTAACGTGACCAACGATCCACAAGTGATAACACAGAAGGTCAATCTTTGAGGGCGTGGGCTTCAAACCTTCTGCTCCAGCTCATTTTTCCTGTAGTTGATGGTGATGGAGTAGTAGTGTCTGTTCAGTCCGTGAATCAGAGCCTGAAAGAACCAGGAGAAACCCGCGGGTCAGAGGGAAGAACCATAGACACACAGACTACAGGGATGATCACAGCTCTGGAGTTTACAGGAAGTGTGACATGCTTTTGTTTGTTTAAACAGACAATAACTCTCCTAAAAGCAGAGACCAAAGAACCGAGTCCCCGTGAGCAGAGAGGGTCTAAAGCAGAAGGTCTCAAATAAAAAGTCTATTTTTTTAATTTATTTTATTTAAACTATAAACCATAATCTGTGGCTCATGTGTCAAACAGAAAGGTTAATAAGCTCCTGGAACTTATTTCTCTCTCAGACTATGACAGCCAGACAGCTATAATGTGCTGATTTTATGATATAACTGCTTGCCGTACTCGCACCTGGGTTTGACTCAAAGAGGCAGGTTTTTTTTATTCTTCAGGCTTTATTTGATGTAAAGTGCTTTAAATTGTATCTCCCTGTGATTTTTTTCAGCTGTTCTTGTTAATAAACTGCAGTTTAATTAAAATAAAACTCTCTCGGGGAGCGGTGTGACTGACCCATCCTCTGAATCCGACCCAAACGTCTGTATTGTACCTGAACCGTTACATGCCTAGTAAACGTTTACCTGAATGGACGGTTTGTTCAAATGACCCAAGTTAGACGTGGTCTGCCTCGGTTCGTGACCCAACACCATCATGTTGGCGTTAATCAACCTGAAGGCGTCGATGACAACCTGAGCAGGAAACAAAACCACCTCAAGTTCACGACAAACAGGAAGTGATTTTAAAGGTTCTTCTGATGTAAGTCCTCACCTTTCCCTTGACACTCTGAATGGGATCGACCACCACCGCGACAGCGCGCTCCGACAGCGCCTCGAAGCTCTGCTGCGTGTTGATGTCCACGCCTGACAACCAGCAGCCGAAGCCCGGGTGACTGTGGTACCATCCCACCACCATCTCAGGTCTGGAGATAAACAGACGGACTTTGTGAAAGATTCTGTTCAAACGTCCTCCAACAGAAACAGTCAAAACAAAAGAAACGTTTTAAAAGATTCATGCAAAGGTTTTACCTTCCAGTCTGCTTCAGCATGTCCAACATCTTGGCCTGGAAGACGGGGTCCACTGCCTCCACACTAACACCCTGTCAGAACAAAAACAAACTAATTTCAACTCCTGGTCAGAGTCAGTCAGTCAGTCAGTCAGACTGAGTCAGTCAGTCAGTCTTTGGTGCAGTATAAATAAACTAAATTTAAAATTTTATTCACTATAACTCCTGTATTATCTTGTCCAGATCAAACGGTGTTGTTGATACGAACCGTTCCTGATTGAGGCATGGCGAAAACGTCGATCACCCGCACTGTGTAGTCATCAACAAACTCCCCGAGCATCAGCCCCATGACTTCCATCGGTACGCCAGCCCGGCCGTGCTTCAACATCTGATGGGAGAGCAAAATGAAAAATGAGAATTCAAACACTTTCTGATTCAAACAAATCTCATCCTGATGTTTGTTTACCTTGAGCAAGGCCAGGGAGGAGATGTAGACCTGCTCTGCTGTGTCCACAGCCGGTGCATCTGTGGGGGGTCCCTGAGGAGTCAAAGAACTCATCAAATTATCTGTTCTGGACAGTTACACCAACTTAAAGTTTGTCGTTGTTATTGTCAGATTTGTTTACAAGTCAGTGCACAACAGAAAAACAGTTTTAGAAAATAAGAACATTATCAATAGGACAAGCAATGATAAACAGCTTTGTTTGAGATCTTTATACCTGTCCAAGTCCTGGCATTCCACTGCCCAGCCTCAAGAGTCGGTCCATCCTGAGATCTGCAGACAGATTTATTATAAAGTGTAAAATAAAAACTGTAAAAATTAAAGAATGTTCTGTTATATTGAAACTTTTTATTTAAAATATACATTTTGAAAGAAGTGGAAAGTAAGCATGTGGTTTATCCGAGTAAATCAGAAATAAAATGTTGATAGGAGCAGTTTAAGTCTGATTATTTGTGCTTTTAAGAGCGTTTTGTCTCAGCTAAAGCGGAAACGATTTAAAAACAACGCTAGCTAACCTGATTGCTAATTTTATCACAGTCACGGAGGGTAAATACAGCATTTATTATCAAGAAGTTTATAAACACGGTTTAACTTGCAATTTGTTACTATAAAGTAAAAAATTAAAAAATAAAAATAGCAATTTCTGTGTTTATCATCCAACAATTCGAGGAGTCACCCGAACTACACCGCTAGCTCGCTAATGCTAATTTAGCCTGCCTCGTCTGTGACAAATACAATAAAAACACTGTTTTCCGTTATAACTTCATCAAACCAAGTTTAACAAGAAATTATGGATGTCTAAAACAAATATCGCTGCTCACCCGCTGTTAAACGTTTTGTAGATCTGGATGAGTGAGTTCTGCTTACAGTAGGCTACAATGAATCAGCCAGAATCGCTTTCCGTGGAAAGAAACAACTTCCGGCGCATGTATGACGCCATCACACTGCTGACTGTTACAGAAACAAACCACTAGAGGGCGACACATTGCTCATTTATTTGTTTATCAGCCGAGGAATGAAGCAAATCACGTTTATTGGTTATTTAAAATGAAAAATGTTTGCTTTAGCGCATTTATCCGATTATTATTTGAACATATACATATATTTAAAAATTGTTTTGACTAAACTGTAAAGTGAAGAGGAACTATTGACTGATGAATTAAGAAGTACTATATAAGGTTTGTGTAATCTATCATCAAAACGCCATAATTGCACTAATTTTTATATTATTGCATGTTATAGTAATTAAAATAGTATGTATTATAGTATTATAACTATTATGTTTACTATGTTTACCTTATCATTACCTTTACCTTTTCTTCTTCTTTCGATTTTTCCCTCTTCAGGAGTCGCCACAGCGAGTCATCCTCCTCCACCTCACTCTGTCTTCTGTCCTCATTCCAACTACCTTCGTGTCCTCTCTAACTGCATTCATATATCTCCTCTTTGGCCTTACACGTTTCCCTCCTCGTGGTCTTTGACTAACAATAGCAGCTCAGAACACCACATGCAGAACACCATGGACTTTGTGGATAAGGTGAGGGATGTCATCATGGAGACTGATGAAACAATGGTCTCTTTTGATGTCACATCACTCTTTACGTGCATTCCTGTTGATGATGCAGTAGAGGTGGTCAGTTTAAGATTAAAATCAGACACCACTCTGAGCAGCAGGACCACGCTTTCCACAGAACAACTGTGTCAACTCTTGAAACTGTGCCTGCAGTCAACCTACTTCACATATGGGGAGCAATATTATAGGCAGAAACATGGGTGTGCTATGGGGTCTCCAGTTTCTCCTATTGTTGCCAACCTGTACATGGAGGAGGTGGAAAAGAGAGCCTTGATGTACTTTTCAGGGACAACACCAAGTCACTGGTTCAGGTATATTGATAACGCCTGGGTTAAAATTAAATCTCAGGAAGTCCAACATTTTACTGACCACATCAACTCTGTGGATAAATACATCAAGTTCACACGAAAAGATGTAAAAAATGGCAAGTTGGCTTTCTTGGACTGTGAGGTCTCAGTCTCTGATAGAGGACATTTGCAAACCGAGGTGTACCGCAAACCCACCCACACAGACCAGTATTTGCAGTTTGACTCCCATCACCCTTTGGAGCACAAGTTAGGAGTCATCAGGACTCTGTATCACAGAGCAGACAGCATCCCCACTAGCTCGGGAGCCAGGCAGAAGGAGAAATCTCACACAAGACAGGCTCTAGAGCAATGTGGATATCCTAACTGGACCTTCCTGAAAGCAGAGAAGAAACCCAAACAGGACTCCAGTCAGCCAACAGGTGAAAAGGAGGAACCCAGACCCAGACCAGTGGTCATTCCAGATGTTGAGGGAGTATCAGAGAAACTGAGACGTTTATTTTCTAAACATAACGTCCCAGTGGCTTTTAAACCCCAAAATACATTACGGCAAAGACTGGTTCATCCCAAAGATCCAGTCCCCCAGCACAAACAGAGCAATGTTGTGTATGCTGTTCAGTGTCAGGAGGGCTGTGATCAGTCTTACATCGGGGAAACTAAACAGCCACTGGCCAAAAGGATGGCCAGCACAGAAGATCAACATCATCAGGCCAGGACTCTGCGGTCTACACTCATCTCCAGGCCAGCGGTCATTCTTTCAAGGATGAGGATGTTCACATCCTGGATAGAGAGGAACGATGGTTTGAGAGAGGAGTAAAGGAGGCCATCTTTGTGAAAAGAAATCGTCCATCGTTAAACAGGGGTGGAGGCCTCCGGGTTCAACTGTCCCCCTCTTACAATGCTGTGATTGCTAGTATCACTCAGCCCTCTGTGAGTAGTAAACAGCCATCAGTGTGCTAATGATCCATTGTTAGGCTGATGGTCCTTCTTGATCATGTGATCAGCTGGTTTTGGTTGTCAGCAGCAAACTGGTTGATCCACTCTGAGACGGTGCTATTTAAGAGACTGAGCTGAATACAGCACCTCAGACTGAGGAAGTCTCTCGGATGAGAGATGAAACGTTTCTACATTTTTTGTTGATTTGCTTTGTTTTGTTTTTTTGAATGTCCAGAGGACCAGATTGAACTTTTTTAGATTTTTCTACCTGGATTATTGAGCATGCATCAGGATAACAGTAGCACAATTTCCGCTGGCACCCTGTTTGTCAACAGCACCGGTGGCGGTTGTTGTTAACCCGGGCCTCGATCGATCCGGTATGGTTGCGCTTTGATGAACTCGCATTATGGTTTTGGCAAAAGTGTTTTACATCGGATGCTCTTCCTGACACAACCCTCACTATTTATCCGGCTTGGGACCGGCACAAGAGATACACTGGCTTGTGCTCCCTAGAGGCTGGTTTATTACCTTTACCTTTTGCTTCTTCCTTTTCGGGTCACGGGGGTCACTGGTGCCCCGTATCCAGCAGTCACTGTGCGAGAGGCAGGGGACATCCTGGACAGGTCTTCAGTCCATCACAGGGACACAAACGAGACAAACAACCATTCACTCTCTCACTCCTAGGGACAATTTAGAGTTACCAATCAGCCTAACATGCATGTTTTTGGTCTGTGGGAGGAAACTGGAGTACCTGGAGAAAACCCACACATGCACGGAGAGAACATGCAAACTCCACCCAGAAGGGTCCTCCATCCGGGGTTTGAGCCCATTGCTTCAGGAAGCCATTTGGTATGAAACAGTTGCTAACGTTTAGTGCACGTTCGCTACTGTCGACCCCTGAAGAAAGAGCAGCTGAAAGAACAGCTTCGTTCAAAAAAAAAAAAGGCTCAAGTTTCTCAAGAACCAGCATGAAACCATAATCCTGTCAGGAAAAGGACATAAAGGAGGGAGCTCTGATGCTCCATGAACCCTCACAGGATGTGGATCTTAGATCTCGATTTAAAACCGGTTCCGTTTTGAGCTTTAACATGTTTGTGAAGATAAAAGGAGAAAAATAAGATAAAAGCGAGTCAGACGCTGATTTACAGAAGAATTTCCCCGCCGGGTTCAGAAAATTAATGAACAACTTTGAGATTAAAGAGAGAAAGTTCCCGGTCTGAGCCACAGATCCAGACAGAACCGTGCAGAGATCCGATGCCACACCTTTTTTTTTTTTTTCCACATTCATCTTCCAATGAACCAGACTTTCTGGTAATCCTTTAAAGTGGTCTTGAGACAGACTTCCCCAGGCTCTCTGGAGGTCGGTTTAAAGTTTTCTATTTTAAAAAAATGTTTCCACTTGTTTTACGTTCCATTTTCAGAGGAATTTGTTTTGTTTGTTTTTTTTGAACCTGTCAAGTCTGAGCCACGAACAATCAACCCGTGGACCTGCTGGTCTGCAGAATCTTGACAGATATTTTAGGCCCTGACGTGTCACGAAAACTTGAACTGCAGCTACAAGCTGAAGTCCTAGAATCATTAGAAAGAATTCATATCACCTTTGTGTTTTGGACCTGAAATGTCTCCTGTTGAAGAATATGGAGCTAAAACCAAAAAGTTAAAGACTTATTTTAAAACATGATGAGAGTGCCTACAGAGACGAGGTGAGGTCACTGACCAGCTGGTGTCAGGAAAATAACCTCTCTCTAAACGTCAGCAAAACAAAGGAGATGATAGTGGACTTCAGGAGACAGCGTGGAGGCCAGCACCCCACCATGAACATAAACAACGCTGAGGTGGAGCAGGTCTTCAAGTTCCTCCTTCACCTTACTGAGGTTCTGTCCTGGACTTTACAGACACTGTGGTCAAGAAAGCCCAACAAAGACTCTACTTCCTAATTAGACTAAAGAAGTTTGGTACAACCACCAGCATCCTCACTAACTTTTGCAGGTGCACCATGGAGACCCTGCTGACAGGCTGCATCACAGGCTGGTACCGGGACTGCATCAGTCAGAGCCGGAAACCTCTACAGAGGGTGGTGCAAACAGCAGAGGACATCACTGGTACCAGTCTCCACACCATCCAGGACATCTACCACAGCTGATGTCTGCGTAAAGCACGCAGCATCATTAAGGACCACACCCACCCAGCACAAGGACTCTTCCGTCAACTACCCTCAGGCAGACGATACACTCGCGCACGAAAAGACTCCAAGACAGTTATTACCCACAAGCTGTCAGATTACTGAACTGCTGACAGTAACATTGCACTATCCACATGTGTGACACCCAACATGTTTATTGCTACTGCACTATGTGGCTGTTTCATGTATGTCACTACCTTACCATCACAACTCAATCTCAGTGTTACTCACTACGTGTCACACACAACATGTGTAGTGCATGTTAGTTATGTGCAATATATATATATATATCATGTGCATTTAAGCTTATATTATTACCTGTGAAATACTTATTTATAAAAATTCATCCAACTTGCACCGTTATATTCTACCATGTTGTTGTTTACTATATTCCTTTTGGACCTTGTAAATATATTTTTTTCATTTTCTGGTACTTTATTTTGTACCCTTATTGCATGCTTTAGTGTTTACTTGCTTTTTGTTTTTAGCGAGTCGAATCAGTAGTTGCCTCGTCCCGCACGCTTCCCAACTGTCAGTATAAACAGCGTGCAGCTCAGATGTGCACGTCGACAAACGTCACAGACGAGATGAGCGCCACGGCAAGTTGACCGTTGATCGTTGACCTTGTGTTAATTAATCTGCATATGACAAACAGCAGAACATGACTAGTACTACAGTCCTCATTGTCCTTTAGTGTCTCATGACTCATCAGTCCACCATCATGTATGCTTTCCATCAAGTCCGGTTCACCTCCTTGCCTCCTTCGCGTCTCCGTTACTGTTTTATAGGTTTTTGCAGCAACAACAGCTGTTTGTTTTCTTTAAATAAATCTGAATTTTGATCCCTCGCTCCTCAGGTCAGTCTGTATCCCTGGTTCAGTCCTCCAGAAACGTTAGACAGGAAGACACAAGATTGTCCTGCTTTGATGGCAGATAC